CCCCCCCCCCCTTTTTTTTTTTCAAACCCTTTTAACATTAATTTTTTACAAAATTTGGCTCAAAAAGGAGAGGAAATAAACATAGAATAAAATAGATTATTCCCTTATAATATGATAATATTATGTACATAAAAACACTGAACATTGAAACTATTTGAATATTCTTTTCATCTTTTCAAAAGGCGCGCATACATTGGTTTGATTGATTTATCATTATTAGTTTTATCTCCAGAGGTCAATTCACAGTGAGGCCCTAGGACCAAGAAAGTGAATGGGATTGTGAAATGTGGAGAAATGCTTGAAATAAGTTGAAATCAGGGGCGTCACTTCAGGTTGTATTTTTTTAAAGAAGGTGTGGGGGATGGGGGCAAAACCAGATGGTCAGCTTTTTAAATTGTTTATTACTGGAGGCGCCACAGTAGGCCTACTTAGCAATTATCATTAGCAAAATAAAACCTGCAAATTCAAGGTAGGCGTCGGCAAATGCCACACCCTGCCTTACCCAAATGATATTCCTGCTTAAAATTAAGTTGGGTTAACATTAAGAATGTTGTAATAATCTTTTATTTTTTGTTTTTTCTTTTTTCGAATTCTTTCTTTCTAAAACAAAAGGGGGTGTAATAATCATATTTTAAAAAAAAATGATAGAAAAAAGGTGGGGGGAGAATTCGTTGTTGAATACGTTGATACATAATTATATTTATGGTGTGACATATAAAGATACGTGACCATGTAATGGGCCCTATGTTATATAACTCGAATGGGGGTAAGTGGGGTTTATCATTCAGCTGTATTGTGTAATATGGGGTTGGGGTGGGGTTGTAATGAGCAATGTTATAAAACATTATTTAAAAAAATATATTAATTATTTAATTTGAACACTTTCTGCTTTTCCAATTTACCAAATTATTGGTCCTAGATTCTAGGTTACTAAAAAGTAACATTGACCAATTATTAGCCCTAGATTCTATGGGAGTAAAACTAAAATTTAACAAATTATTAGCCCTAGATTCTAGGTTAGTAAAACTAAAATTTACTAAATTATTAGCCCTAGATTCTAGGCTCGTAAAACTAAAATTTACCAAATTATTAACCCTAGATTCTAGGTAAGTAAAAACTAAACTGTTATGTTTGTTTTGTTGCTTACAATAATCAGAACATTAAAATTTTAAAAATAATTTCAAGCTTTTTGCTTGAAATTTGAAATTAGCTTGTTTCGGACTTATTCTGTGCCAATGTGACTGTGTGTGTGTGGGGGGGGGGGGGGGGGAGGGGGGTGGTTGTAATAATATTTGGGGGGGGGTAATGGGAATGCTACATAACGTTATTAGGGGTGGGTAAAATGTTACATTTTTGTATTAGGGGAAAGTAAAGTGAGTAACAATAATAACATCGCTGCTTGGACGGATTTTCAAAACTGTAACATTTATTTGTCATCACAATAAGACATGTTGAAAAAGCATGTTCAAAAGAACCGACAGTGCCCTCTTGAGCATAAGAAATTAGCACCTCCTCCTCAACAAAAAAGGATTCGACCATTGCGAGTAGCTGCATGGAGATAGCGAAAGCTTATGGCAATTATTGCTCACACCGACTATGCTTCTATTTTAAATGCTGAATGGTTAAGATGAGGATGATCTTGCCGCAAGATGGAAATGATCAATCAGCTACTGTAGACTATGCCCATCAGGGGCGTCATTTCATGTTTTTTCGGGGGGGGGGGGGGCAAAACCAAAACTTGGCGGGCTTGTTAAGTTGTTTATTACCAGATCGGA